GTGAGATCATTGTTATACACACCATACCCATCATTTGGGAATCTTCTGACGATGATCTTTGGAAAGATCGAAGATTTGTGAAAGGGATTCAATAAATTGAAAAAAGATGTGACACGAGTTTTCGGGTTTTACCTTCATTACGGTGCATTGGTCCACACAAAGATGCAAGTAACTTAAAACGAAGATACCATATCAATGGACTAAGAATGTTGAGCGAAACCAGTTCTATACTAATCAAGGATATAATGAGAAGAAAGTCGCACAGGTAGACATACGGTATGTGCTGTGCAAATGCAACTGTATAAATGTTGTCACACAAAATTATAAATTGGATTGAAACAAAATATTATGTCAATGGTTCTTATAAACGTGCAGGCACCTTACGAGAAAAAAATCCTGCGTTTTTTATATATATTTCAAGATCTAATGGGTCAAGAATGTTCGTTGTTTGGCACTGCGAGGAGGCAAGATCCTGATTCGTCAATATTACATTATTTATTTATTTCACATTAAAATTACTTATCGAAAAATAGAAGTGCGCGGGAATGCACGTGACGAGATAAGAAATTTTGGTGCGTTAACAGCGGTCGATGTTCTGAACCGTTATTTTTTTAACACCACGTTCAATGTGGTTTAATAAAGAGAAGTTCGATGGACAATTTAGGCACTTTGAAAGAGGCATTTGTATTGTATCGTGGCAATTAGCGCTAAAAAGTCATGAGACGGAAAAAGTGTTTATTGGTGAAAAATGTAACTTTGGTATTGTGTTTGCGCCTACAACAATACTAATGTAAGCGTTTAACGCTAGGCGCGACGAAAGAATGGAGAATGCAAAGACGGAAATTTTTATTAGTGGGAGAAAGGACGTTCTCGTATTGTCACGATGCCATCAAAGTTACCGACGTATTGTAAGTCGTCGTAATACAAGCATACATTCTAACATTCTAACGCGTGTGATGTGATTCTTATTGTCAACAGCATTATCAAATAATAACCGTAAGTATTCAAAAGCTAGGTCGGTATTTGCGCATGTGTGTGGGCAAGTAAAAACGATCGTTATTTCTTAATGCAATAAAATAATCAAATTAATAAATCAACCTATTCGACTTGTTATGCGTATATTATAAAAATGTATCTGTTAAATTGAACACCGTGTAACCAAAAATTTACTGTCATCAGTGATACAGATAATCTTCCTAGTTAAGTGGATCAATGCTCCGAAAAACTTTCTCCACTTTGGTCCGAAAAAATTCTGCTACTTTGCAATCTTCCTTATTGCTTTCTTCTATCTCGAAACGATGTCGATTTAGTTCAACATCGAGCGATCCTATCTTATCAAGTTTTGACGCGATTTTACTGGGTGTCTATAAGGATGGGTCACTCACCGATACAACGGCTGAAGTAATTCCCAAAGACCTCCAACAAACTATCAAAGAGAAACTTCGGTTTTCCGATGCTAAAGGAAAATTAGGTGAAACAAGATTGTTCTACGGTCTTGGTGGCGAAAATTTTCCAAAGAAAATTGCGGTCGTTAACCTAGGTGTTGATAAAAACGCCGATGAAGAAGAATTCGAGGTTTTGGAGAGAGCGCGTAAAGCGGTATGCTGATAATCATCGTACACACACCTGTCTTTTTCATTAATTTGATCCATAATGAACAGGCTTCGATCGGGGTACGCTCCTTGCGTGAAGTAGGAGCTAAGAATATCGGTGTTGATGTGATGATTCATGAACACGGTTTGTCTGTTATTATTTTGTTTTGCACAAATGTCATCCATCTGTCATTCATCTCCGACAAATTCTTTGATCTAGGCACAGCTGAAGGTGCGACACTTGGATTGTATAGATTTGATGGCCTCAAGTCTGCCAAAAATCAAAAGTCTCCAGTGAGCATTGAACCTATTGGTTCACTATCAACAAAGGAATTGTCATGGAATACGGGACTAATTTATGCATCTGCCCAAAATCATGCTCGCACCCTTGCCGAAACGCCCGCAAATCATATGACACCAACCGTTTTTGTTGAAAGCGCAGTATCACTTTTGCAAGATATTCCCAATGTGGAAATAAGAGTTCATGATAAAGAATGGGTAGCAGAAAAAGGAATGGGTTCTTTCCTTTCGGTGGCTAAGGGATCTGATGAACCATTGAAATTTTTGGAAATCCATTATAATGGTGGCGAGAAAGAGAGTAAGCCACTAGCATTGATAGGAAAAGGTATGAATGACCTCCACATATAATAATTACTATGATTTCATAAAAGATTTAATGATTCATTTCTCTTTTTTTGTTCTGTAGGTGTAACTTTTGATTCGTAAGTAATCCTTTTCGAATTATATCATTATGGGATCATGTGTATTTAATTCCGGTTCAATGTTTCCAGTGGGGGTATTTCCATCAAACCGTCAGCAAAGATGGCGGAAATGAAGGCGGACATGAGTGGTGGTGCTGTGGTCGTATCAGCATTGTTTGGCATCGCTAAACTCGGATTTCCTATCAATGTTATCGTTTCGATCCCATTATGTGAGAACATGCCATCTGGTCGTGCAACCAAACCTGGTGATGTTGTTAAAGCAATGAATGGGAAGTCAATTGAGGTATTGGTTCATACTTTCTCGTTAATCTGATTATTGGGTGTGTTTTTTAGAATAATACTATTTTTGTTCAAAGGTTGATAATACAGATGCGGAGGGTCGTCTCATTCTTGCTGATGCCCTATATTATACTAGCTCCACTTATCAACCACATAGCCTAATCGATGTTGCCACTCTAACTGGCGCAATGTATGTTGCTTTAGGAGAGATTTATTCGGGCGTTTTCACTAATTCCAACAAACTATGGGAGCAATTATCACAAGCTGGTAGAACTGCCAACGATCCTTTTTGGCGTATGCCTCTGGATGATTCATATAGTAGAGCTCTCAAAAAATCAACCGTAGCGGATCTCGTGAATGTTGGGGATAGAGGAGGAGGTGCTTGCACAGCCGCAATATTCCTGAAGGAATTTGTAAGCGGCTTAACGGAGGATGACATGGATGAATCCGACGAATTCGAGAAACCTCTAAATGCATTAGATGCTGACGATGAAAGTAAGATCCGTTATGCTCATATCGATATGGCGGGATCCATGCAGACCACGCAAGATTCGGGATACGATGTGAAAGGAATGACGGGTATAAATTATTTTAGCTGTTTACTTATCATTGATACATTTCGTAATCCCATGTTAACATGCAACTTTTTCTTTCAAAGGACGACCAACTCGTTCAATAATTGAATTTGCTAGAATCATTTCAGAATCAAAATTGACAGAACATCTTTGAGGATCTTTAAGTGATATAATATACAGTATCATTAGTGCCTACGATTTTCTTCAAAGGACATTAATTTTTAATTTTGCTCCAACGCTTTATTACAAATACTTTGTGCATCCTAATCTAGAACATCATAATAAAATAGAGTTTTAACAAGATTAATTATTAATATCATTTTAAATCTGATAGTCAGAACACATAACTCGCCAAGTGATATATGTTAACCATCGATTCATTTTAATAAGACATTTCCATTCTTGAACACGAATACAATGTTCTCTTTAAATTTCTGATCCAGTTCGTTAGGGCTTAACGTGTTCTTTGGGTTAGTGATGAATTTATTAATAACCATTTTTTCCAATTGTTGAAGCGTTATCTCTTTACGCTACAAAAATTCGTAAAATGATGTAAAATTACGTGCACCTTTTAAGGTTAAAGAAATATCAATAGAAAAATGCCACAACATATTACCTTTCCTTCTTTAAAGATTCTCTTAACCATTTTGGTTGCAGGAAACTTGAAATTCAGTTCATTCTTTTTCTTCTTACCATCGACCTTTTCAGACGAAGTTTCGACATCCCGAGCTTTTTGTTTTTCAGATGAATTTTCAATCGCCGAATTCGTTTCTTTCTCAGATGAAGTTTCAATGGTTGGAGTTTTTTGTTTTTCAGACTGTGTTTCGGCAGCCTTTTTTTGTTTCTTACTATCTTTTGTTGAGTCTGATTCGATAGCTTGCTGTTCATTCCTGCGTTTCAAACTTTTATTGAAAACGCCTAGACCTTCAGTTCCCTCATCCTCAGAAGTCGAATCAATGTAAAAAGGATTTTTGTTCTCTTCTTGTGAGCCGGATGTCAATTTAGAGTCTTTCTTCTCTTTGCTGTTTTTATCTTTACTATTAGGTTGATCGAGATTTTGTGTTTTGTCTGGATGTTTATTAGACGATTGTGACAAGTGCTGCGATTCTGACTTTTTCTTCTTATGTTTTTGGTTGCTATTTTCAACCTTTGGGACACCAGGATCTTTGGCTTGACTTCCAGACTGCTTATCCTCAATGACAGGTTCTTCTGCCTTTCGTTTCTTCGAAATCACCACGGAATTGAATCTATTTCCAAACGTCATATGAAGTTTCATAATTTCGTCGATGATTTCAGGCTTAGTCTCATTTTCAGCTTTTTCCTTTTTATCTTCGTTTGCCTTCATCTTGGTTTTCTCTTCAACTTTTTCCTTTTTATCTCCATTTGCTGTCGTCTTGGCTTTGTTTTCAACTTTTTCTTTTTTGTCCCCGTTTGTTTTCGTCTTCTTTTTCTTGGATTTGCTCTTTTTCGAACCGTTGGGTGCCTCATTTGTAGCTTGGTTCTTTTCAGAGTCTTTCTTATTACTCACATCTTCATTTTTCTTAAGGGCTGCCTCTTGTCCTTTCCCATTGCTATTTCCAACATTTTGTTCCTGCTTCGCTGGCATCTGCTTTGACTTGTCGGTGGATTTTTCTTGTTTCTGTAACACCCGAATAAAAATTATTCTTTTCAAACTTCAACGGCAACCAGTAAGAATCATTATTTTTAATTAAAGTCACCTTCTTTCCCTTAAGAACACCCTTTTGATATTTTTCTACTTCGCTAATGCAACTAGTATGACCCTTATACTCATTTCTCCCAAATGTTTTGCTACAATCGAGACATGTGAAAGTATTATTTCCACAACGCTCTCGGTGTTGATCTAGTTGTTGTTTTCTTACCACGTCTGCACATTGGTCACAACTGAAAGATACCATGTTCACTTGGTTTTCGAGAAAATTTTTTTCCCGACGTGATTTTAAATTTTATCGAATCTTCAATGATTGGCTGATAAAAAATCAATTGTATTTGATAATTACAAAATTTTATTAATTTATATTTCTTATTCAGGAGATTAGTGTAATCAAAAATTCAGAAAAATAAAGATTTAAATAAATTTTTTTAAAAAAAGTATACTTTATATTTAACTTTATAAGTCAACTTTTCTTATATTTATTTATAGAAATACAAGAAGTTTATTTTAAAGATTAAAGTTTTTAAGTAATAATATTGTTAAGAAAAATATATAGACTTTATTATAAATAAGTAATAAATTTTTTTGAAAAATATCTGTTTTTTGAATTGACAAGAAAATTAATAAAAAAATTTCTTTACAATTCATTTATTATTATTATAAATAAATATTATTTTTTTATTTAATATAACATTTTTTATTATTTAATAAATAGTGTATAATAAAACTTTTTGAAATTTTTTTTAAAAATTTGATATTTTAATTAATTTTAAATTAAAATATACAGTGATGGCCATAAATAACCGGAATTGTAAATTTATTTTTATTTATTTAAAAAAAAATATTTATTATATAAAAAAAAAAAATAAAATAGTTAAACTAATGTACTAACTAATATTTTTTTTTTTAGTAATTTATTTTATGCCCATTTTCAGTTACCAACTCTTCCAAATAATGAGATATGCTTTTTACTAATCCAATCAGCATGTTTTTTCAAGACCTGCCCATTCTGATCTAATTAATTCTTTAAACTTGATAGACATAATAGATTTTTTTTCTCGCACCTTCTTATTAACCTTTTTTTTTTTTAAAATTGTTTACAGATTTTCGATAGGATTAAGATCTAACAAGTTTGATAACTAGTTTAAAACTCTTATATGAAAATCAGTTAGAAATTGTTTTATTGTCTTTGCCATGTATTTAGGGTCATTATCTTATTAAAAGATTCAACTATGACCCATTACAGTCCGTATTATACATGTGGCGTAAATTATTTTTCTGTTAACTCAATTTCTAAAATCCTCAAAAATAATTGCGTTATGACTCAATTATTTATATGTTTTAATAGTAACTCAATTAATTGTGTCAAATAATTGCATCAATTGCATCAAGGATCTATGAATTTCAGCAACATGTATAGTTCTAATGATGAATTCAAATGAAATCAATATTAGATACAGTTAATGAAAAATTAATTTTGTGTTAGGATTGTTTTGGTAATGAAAACAGTTGCCACCCTTCAGCCTTTAATTCTAATGATAAGTTCAAATAAAGAGTCAATACTAGATACAAATAGTAAAAGACTGATTTTACTTTGGTAAAGTTTGAGTTTAGCTTAGTATAAAACTATTACTTACTTTGCTTATTATATATTAAGCCACATTTGAAAAGCAAGTGTACCAATTCTAATCATGACTTGAAGACAAATCTGTATATAATGGCTCCAGTACCTTCATATGATTAGGTAATCATTTTTCTCTAGGTAGCTAGATGTTATTCAAGACATAATATAGGTTTTGAAATTCTTTTTTTTATATTTTTGGATAGTGTCAAGGAATATAGAGGATGAATTGCATCTGCGAAGCCTTATATTTAACTAGAAATATATGTTATACTGTAAAATATTATAAATCTTGTACTTGCAAGTCTAAAATTATAATAATAAAATATAATATAATAATCTTCTGCTCTTTTAAAAATATATATATATATTATTATTTGAAGTAATTCTAATAAGAGTTGGTTGTAATTATTAACTAATATATTATTCCTTAAATTGTAAGGCATTTTTTTTATAATGTTTAAAATTTTTTAACTAGAAAGTTGCTTTTCATTTATTTTTTTATATAATCAAAATATTTTTCTAAAAATTTATATAATATTAGTTTTAATTATATATTATTTATTTATAGTATTTATTTTTTATTTATTTAA